AATCCTATGCAATATAAAATTTTCTGTACTTATAATACCTTACGTTTCCAAGTTAAAATACTAACGCTGGGTATTAACTTGATTATTGAAACACATTCATTCCATCCATGATCATAATCAGTTGCAGAAAAAAGAACTACTCTTCAAAATCTCAATAGATTAGTTATGAAAGGACAACAAGGACACTGGTGGTCGAAGGACAGAGACATAATCACACCTCTGTCGTAAGCACCATGGAAATAGCACAGGACATCTGTTGATGGGGCCATACCACACTACCGTTCTGGGATGACTAGCTTCCGTGTTTAGATGGCAACTCTCAGTGCTCTCCAGAGTCTAGACTGTAAACTTCAATACTTAAGGGCTTTGCACTGTTGAGTTCTATATGACAGTAGTTACATCAGTGTCTGGCACACACTATGTGCACAGTAAACATATCTTAAGCGTATGACAACCCGATCATGTCCGAAGAGGTATTTGTCTGCCAGTTAAAAATTTTTGAGGTTCTCAAACACTTCATATGATGTTGAGGCCATACTAAGGACACAAGGAACTGAGTTTTAGAAGCCCTGAGGAAGTCTGTGTAGGTTCTCTTCCTTTCTTGATTCCCAAGGCCTGGAGTCTTAAAACAGAAGTCCAAGTACCTATGTTCTCTCATATGGCCTCCCTGCTCACCCCCACACTGGTACCATTCATGCCTCTCTAAGCTACAAGCAACCTCAGTTGGACAGCAACAACTTACTGTTACTACTGGAGAGATTGTAGTATGCAGTATGTAACCCTCTTTGGTTTACAAAGAACCATCACACATGTTTCAATTCACAAATTCAGGATTCTGGCCCAACTACATTAAACAAATCACCACTATAACAGTATTTGCAAAATATTGCAAAATTTGGGGATCAAATACTTTACTGAAGATGGCATATTTTCCTAAGGCATTCAGTGTTTAAAGTTTGTGTTATTCCACATTATATGTCTTGAGCTGCAAATAAGTTTTTTCTTTAGATACCAATGGCCTTCAGCTATAAATAGTCCCATATATATGGTCATTTTAAAATTATGATATAATAGCTTCTGTAGGAAACCAAAATCTAGGAGTGAAAGCATCTTAAAAGGTCATCCGCTCCTATCACAGGCAAGTTTCTAACAAAGTCCTCACAGAATGAATTACTTAGCCATTATTACTTAGCATTGCCAGAGATTTCACATTGTCTCTTGATAGTTTTCTTTAGTGCTTTGCCACCTTTGCTGTTTCCAATCACAGTTTCTCTTGTTTCAAATTATGCCATGCTTCTTTTCCTTCACTTCTGAAACAGATTTAGGATGGACAATTTGCACCCTCTATTGTGATCAGTAACACTGTCCGGCCTCAATGAACAGCTCTTGTGAGGGTAGAACTGTGCATTAAGATGGCTTCCTGCAGATCACTGCAAGAGGGGCAGAGGACTGTGAGCCAGAGATGGTGCCAACTCCAGAAGCAGCACTTTTAGGACACAATAGCACAGTTGTACATATGTGCTCAATGCTGGGACAGCATGCACAAGACCTGTATGAGTTCATGTCCGACAAAATGCCAGGAATGGGGGGGGGTGAGAGACACAAAATTCCATCCCTAACTGAGAAGCTATTGGTAAAGGATAGAAAGGGAGCAATTGATTTTACTTAAAGGTGTAGCCTTGGAAGATCTAACACACTTAGTAGATGACCCCAAACCCAAGCATATATAGGCAGCACTAATGAGACGTGGTGGGTTTTAAGAAAGGAAATGAGGAAACACAGATTGGTATGAAATAGGGGGTAGCTCTGGGAGGAGATGGAAAAGTGGGTCAAATGGGAATATGATCAAAACATAAAATTCTCAAATGATAGAAATTAAAAGAAGATGCTTTCTCCTGAACAAGGATGCTCAGAAAACTGGGAATATAATTTTCGTCTGAGATTAACTTAAAAATTGAATCTAAATTAAGTTATAAAATCAGAGTATGGATCATTTAACAAAAAAGATATTTCCACAGCAGAAAAAGCAATTTCCTTTTTATTTTTTAAAGGTTCTAAAAAAAAAAAAACACCAACCCTTTTAAGTTAATTGTCATAGCATGGAACATAAAAAAATTTCCAAATTCACTTGTTCTGAGGGATAAGTTCAAATATAAACAATGAACACTAATATATCTGTCCAAAGTACATATGTAGAATAATTTTGGGTTAATTAAAAATAAACAGGTTATCTTCTTATGTCACTTAAAAATCAAAATGAAAACAAATAATATAGTTATTAGTTGTCCCAAGGAAGGGAAATGTTGGTCCATATAATTTACATATAAATTCCTCAACTAGATACATGACCACCATCTGGTAAATGTACATGAGCATTTCTTCTAGTCCTCACAGCAAGTCTCTATGGATCAGAAACGCCATTGAAAACCGAGTGGTCACTATTTTAAGTGGTTCACTGTATCTGTAAAAAAATAAAACGAAACAAAAATTGGTTGAATTATAAATGTAGTAGATCAGGTTGCCACTTTCAGAAAGTCAAATATTGAATTATCATCAGAATGTCTACCTAAGCGAGGGGAAGCATGTTTTCAGGGCTTGCTATAGTTCTCTACTGTCTGGCTAAAGCTGAACCTTAAAGTTTAATAGCAGAAAGGTAAGACAGATAAGTTTTCAGTAGAACAGTTTGTTTCCACACCCTCATGTCTTTCCATTGGCTCTACAGGGTTTCACTTCTAAAAAGCACAACCTGCATATGAGCCAGTTGGACAGCACAGTAGGGCTTCCAAATTACACAAATCATCACATGAGTATCTTTAAATACTTTAGTCTATTTAAAAAGTTATTCAAATGAATGTTTTCCAATGTGAAAAGACAACTACCATATGACATCCTATCAAATACTGATTTTACACACCCAGTAAAGAGAGCTGTACAGAGAAATCAAGTGAACTAAGTCAGCCCATGTTTGGGTTTTCTTTTTATACTAATTTGAAAGAGATCTGATGACCCTGTGGGGAGCCACATAAACATGGCAAGCTGTTACATCACAGCTTAATTTTACTGATTCTTCTTGAAATTTTCATGACAAGAAAGCTCTTTACAATAATTATCTAACACTGTTCTCTTTGTGGCTTTAATTTTAGTGCTGACTAGAATTTATAAGTCTCTCCAGGCTGGATGGGATCAACAGTAAAATGAAGGCTGGGAATGTTTACTGGGCTTTGACAAATGAAAGCCTTTAAAAAAAAAATGAGTACCATTTCAATACAGTCTTGGAAGCAGAAGTCAAGATTAACATAAATTGTAAGGATGTTATGGGAAATGAGGGAATAAGGTAAAATATAGACCTTAAGAAAACACCAACACAAAAACTGGCTGCAAAAAGGAAGGGTGGCTGCAGTGTCTAGGAAAAATCGCACATGAGAGGGAGGCACCTCCAAGTATAAGATAAAGAAGTCAACTCAGATTGCTTATTTAACTACAATAAAATATTTTATCCTATAACATATTTGTATCTCTGCAAATATTTTTATATTAAAGCTGAGGCTACTGCCAGGCAGTGGTGACACACACCCTTAATCCCAGCACTTGAAAGAAAAAAACTGGTGGATCTCTGAGTTCGAGGCCAGCCTGGTCTTCAGAGTGAGTTCCAGGACAGCCAATGCTGCAAAGAGAAACCCTGTCTCGAAAAAGACTGAAGTTATCGTTAGAGCTACCATTCATTTACATTCTAAAAGAAAACACCTAGTATACCAATCTAGACATGTCTTCCATTTCTCAGTGAGGGGAGCTGGAGCACACAAGGTCAGGCACGGATGGGTGGCTCACGGCTGTCCTCACTGTTTAAGCAGACTCACACGTAGAACTTTATGATGCCTCTTATTCCCATGGTACAAATTTTATCAACAATGACATTGTGATATATTTGAAAATGGTAAATATACCATTAAATTGTTCCCTAAGAGTATTAAGTATTTTATGTTTATTAGCTCCATTTTTATCAAGATATGCTATACTGGTAAAGACTCTATATATACATATACACGCACATGTGTGCGCTGCACACACACACACACACACACACGAGAGTATCTATCTACCATCTACTTTATCTATCTATCTATCTATCTATCTATCTATCTATCATTTCTCTATTCTGACTTAGATCAAAGCTAAAACAACATTGTATCAATAATTCAAAACCACAGTGAGGTAGTCTAATCTAAAAAGCAGCTGGCATCAAATATGATGAATTTCCAAAATAAAATCTGGGAAATTAACAAGAAAGTTCCTGCTGTTAATTGTCTACTTCACAACGACACCACTAACAGAAATGTTAGCCCAGTTTATTTTCAATGAACTAGTTAATTGATTTCTAAAAATGTTTATTAAAAGAGGTTGCTAAGCTCCCAAGAGTACTGAAGGTGGCAAGCGGGCTGTATCAGCAGTACACAGCTAAGGTTAAACCAAGGCACATACTAGCCTAAGGTTCAAGTCCCAAAGAACTCTACAAAGTTTCCGAGAAAAATCTTTAGGATCAGCCAGTTTCCCACCTAAAATGTAGATCATCCCTATACTTTAAAATGTCCCAGCATCAACAATGACGTGAAGACATTTGTACTTCCTCATTATTAAGTACCTCATAAAACTAATCTATATATAGAACAAAAATGATCAAATAACTGAAAAAAATCATTTGCATGAAATTTGATTCATTTTATAGGCACTGACAGCACTTTCCCTTCTTTTACATGTTTCTAAAAGTGAAATGATTCCTGGATGGCACGGAGACCAGCCTGTGTTCTGTGGTGACTTACAAACCTCCCTAAAGAGCCTCGGGTTAAAAGTTGAAAGCCAAAGGATCTACACTCAGATAACAAAATTTTCTAGATTGTCACAGAATACAAATATTGTGTTGTCACTCAGTTCTAATTGGGTTTACATAATTTTTTCATATTTCATAAAATAAAATCAGATTTTTTTGTAGAGAGAATACTTACTGCGATAATATCTAATGTGTTATCACAGACTTTCCGGATTTCATTATTCTTATCATGCATCAGGTCTATGAGATATGCTGGAGCTTCTGAATGAAAGTGGTTAAAGACACAAAATGAACTGAGATTGTAGCTCTTCAGTTATATAGAAATTACACATACCATTATGGCAGCACAATTGCTTTCTTTCTTTTTTTTTTAAATTTATTTATTTATTATGTATACAATATTCCTTCCATGTCTGCCTGCGGGCCAGAAGAGGGCACCAGATCTCATTATAAATGGTTGTGCGCCACCATGTGGTTGCTGGGAATTGAACTCAGGACCTCTGGAAGAGCAGTCAGTGCTCTTAACCTCTGAGCCATCTCTCCAGCCCCCACAATTGCTTTCTTGATCTGTCATGTCCATGATATTCAGGGAAACATTTCATATGAAAGTGAATAACATCTACTAATGACTCGAATCTCATATAGTTGCTATAGTAAAAAAGAAAAAGAACTGGAAAAATTATGTCATTTTAAATAAGGCATGTTATTTTTTTTTTTTTTTTTTTTGGTTTTTCGAGACAGGGTTTCTCTGTGGTTTTGGAGCCTGTCCTGGAACTAGCTCTTGTAGACCAGGCTGGTCTCGAACTCACAGAGATCCGCCTGCCTCTGCCTCCCGAGTGCTGGGATTAAAGGCGTGCGCCACCACCGCCCAGCTAAATAAGGCATTTTAAAACAGAATTTAAAGAAATAGTAAAATATATATGACAAATACAAATCAGAATTAGAAAACCCAAGGAAACAAAAGTTCAATAAAGAACATGAAAGAGAAAATGAACATAAAAATAAACACAACAGACTCTTAAGAGAAGTATAAGGCAGACAATAAGACAACTTATATATAAAAACTAAATGGACAAAAAGGTTAGAAAATTTAAAACACAATAAGGATAGGCAAGGGAGTTAGAAAGACAGCTCACATTAGAATGCTAGTCTTGCAAACTTGAGAACCTAAACTCATTTCCTAGAAACTATATTTAAAAAGTGGGTGTGAAGGTATGAGCTTGTAACCTCAGTGCTGGGAAGGTGGTAAGTGAACCCGGGACTCACTGACCAGTCAGCCTGTCTACTTGCTGTGTTCCAGGCTAATGAGAGGTCAGGTTTGGAAGAGTAAGAGAGATGGTTCCTGAGGAAAGACAGCTGCAGTCATCCCCTGGCCCACACACACACACACACACACACACACACACACAGAGGTGCCTATCCACTTGCACAGACACATGCACCTGTACACACAGGAACATGTAGACACAATAAATAAAAAATAGATAAAGAACTGCAAATTTAAATCCCTAAGACAAAATCCAAAGCAATAGAATATAATAGAAACTAATTCAAGAGAACTTTCCAGGGGGTCGGGGAAACTTTATATGTGAAAAGTACATTTGAAAAATTTTACTGTGGTTTCTAAGTCTACTCACAGCAAAACAACTTGATGCTAAAGAAAGTAAACATTCTTTTAGTTTTTCTGACCAAAAGACCTAATCACTCTAGGACAAAGGAAATTAAACTGTTCTTAAAATTAGGATAGTAAGAACTTTAACTACAGAGCTCTCCTTGGAAGCAATGCAAAATGGATGGCAAATGCCTCTAAATTGCTAAAGAGAATAAGTGTCAACCCAGAATTCGATATTTTGCTAAATTATCAGTAAAACAAGAAGCTGTTATTTTCAGATAACCCTATTTTATTATTTATATATTTACTACATATAAAAATACCTCATTATAGGTAGAAGTCAATTCAAGAGCATAACAACATAGAATACAAGCAGAGATAGGAGCCAAGGAAATAAAACAAATATATAAATTTCAGGTAAGCACTCATTTTTAAAAGGTAATAATTAAAACGTTAAGTTGTATGGAAATATTTTACAACATACATTCACACGAATTTGAAGGGAGATTCTCTGAACATCTACACAATGTTGCTTCTAGAGGTAGTGAGTTACTAAATAAAATCCCCAATGTCATGTGGGAGACCTCCTGATTTGTTTTTGGTCAGGGAGACAGACCATGAAGGCCTCCAAAACAAAACATGCTCTTGTCATTACTGTTGATGGTCCACAAAAACCAGATGATAAGACCTTAACTGCGTAAGACAAAACACAACTTGGTTGTAAGATATTGAGAAGCTGAGTGGCAACTGAGGTGGGAAGCATCTCCTTGCTGGCTAGCCTTCAAAGTGCCAGAAGGTGATACGATGGCTGCCAGGAGAAAAATGGAATCGAAGGGCTTACCACTTTCTCAACTCTATGAACAACAAAATCAATTTGCCAGGCAAGATGAGCCCACCTGTGTAACAGTCATGACTGTTATGGAGGAAACCAAACACTGTCTTCTTGGATTTGAGGCCTGCTGCACAGGAGAGAACCCATGCCAGACACTGCAAACTCAGTCAAAAACCCAAGCCTGCAAGGATTATAGGCCCTAGATAAACTGATAAGGCATCAAACGACCTTCTAAGTATCTATGTTTATACACAGAGCTAAATGCTAGTCTTAGCCCTTGTAAGTGAAGCCCAATTTAGAACTCACAAAAATCTTTATGATAAAATAGGTTGTCTTTCCAAGAAGTCCCCTAGTAACACATGACTTGTCATTCTGTTTTATGTCTTAACTTTTCATAAACAATTTTTTATGGGCTAAAGAGACACCTTAGTCTTTAAAGGCTATACTCACTACCAAAGCTTCAAGAATACTTTGATGTTTTGTCTGTGTTCTGAAAATTTGAGTGAGGGAGAATTCAAAGTTAATGGACTAATCATTTGGTGGAGGATTCAGGCTGAAAAATCTTCCTGCTTCTTTCAGCTGCTGTGTGTGTGTGTGTGTGTGTGTGTGTGTGTGTGTGTGTGTGTTTTGGAACAAATAGCAAAGCTGTGGAAAAGATACAGATTGACCAGGAGTAGGAGTGCAATTACAGCTTAACATAGAGAGGCTCTGGGTGCTAAAGAGATCAATAATATTAAGAAAAAGTGAAGTAATTTTCAGTCAGACAATAGAACAACAGGAGAGGAGCTTTGAAGGCATTTATATGGACTCCATCCATTACAGGTTCTACAGTGCAAAACTTCAAACTAAGACTTCCCTCTGAAAACAGCAAGTCTCCAGGACACCTTCCTGAAAAAAAAAAAAGCAACTTAGGCGAACAGAGATTGCTGCACCACCAGTGCAAGGGGGATATACTAGCATTCAAGTGGACGTGTGCCCCGGCATTGTTCACATGGACTGGTTTTGCAAATGTGCAAAATGAGGATTTATGGCCTTATGGAGGGTTGCACCAAGGTTCCAGAGAGAGTCCATGAAGGCAAGCGGGGTGTGGATGTCTTGGATTTCCTGCAGGAAGCCCCTCTGAGGCTTATGTATGAAGTTGTGCGAGAACAGTTGAAATGGAGACTCTTGTTGTTGGAGATAGCAGGAATGCTACAGGCACCATTTTCTAGGCTAGTCTTGTGTACTTAGTTTAGTCTGTGGTCTGTTAGCTGAAGTGGAGGTTTACACTGGTGGCATTTACAGAGGTTCTGATTCTGGAATACTGCCGATTTCAGACTTCCTTTAATTCGTACTACTTTCATGCAAACAATTGCCATAGAAGAGAAACTGCCATTTAAATTCATTTCTAAGTCTGCTGTTTTCTACAGCATTTCAACATTTGAAAGAAAATACCAAAACCGAATGTTTCTGCAATTGTAAATGGTCAAATATTTTAAACATTGAAAGGATACGTGTTTCCTTGATTATGACATCTCTTGTGGCCTGATGGAAAACCATCTGGTAGAAGACATAAATTATTTGACACACAAATTCATCATCTTCTTGCTGAGCTGAAAGGAAACAGAAGCTTCCATGACAGAATTCTGTATTTATACACTGAACTTAAAACATTTGGGAAACAACAGAATGATAGTGACAGGCAGACAAACAACAGCACTTGAGTTAATCACCACCCTATGTTGATTTCACATGGAAAAAGCACTGACAAAAGGATGCCTTCTAGAGTTTAAGTCTTAATTAGGAATTGATCTACTGGGGTAGAATTCAGCTCAGTGATAAAGCACTTGCCTAGTATTTATGACAACCTGGGTTTGACACCCAGAAGCTCAAGAAAAGAAAAAGAAAATGGACTATTATAAAAAGACATTTTGGTGAATATTATTCACCAAGTTAAACTTTACATATATTGGCTTAAAAGAGGTATTTTTATTTCAATCCAATTATTATGATAAAATGCTATCATAAAGGCTACTTATATTTATATTTTATGATGATATAAATAATATAATAAATATTTAATATGATAAACTTGTAATTTAACAGTAAATGTGATTTACTGATAGAGTAATTTTGCCATATACTCTTGGCAACAGTTCAATGACATGTTAGAAACATATTTCCTGGGTAACAGTGTCTAGCTAGCCATGTGTATTAAACTGTGAGCCTCTTCACGTCTACCCTGCCTAAGATGATTTCCATCACTAACTTCTTAAATTACTCAGACTGTCCACCAATCTCTTTCCACATAGGCTTTGCTCTACAAGACTTTAAACACTGGAAGTGTACATGATCCTTTTCTCCTATCAGTTAAGAAAATTCTACATTCGAGACCAGCCTGGTCTACAAGAGCTAGTTCCAGGACAGGCTCCAAAACCACAGAGAAACCTTGTCTCGAAAAAACCAAAAAAAAAAAAAAAAGAAAATTCTACATATCACCTTGTGGTAAGTGCATACTAGAGAATATGCAAACACAGTGAAACTGAGCTGCTGCTAACTTAAACACCTCAGCACTCTCAGTTAAACTGCAGCAGAGCATTCTGAGACACGGGTCACTTTCTAACACTCTGCAGCTTCACGAGATCTTCACCTTCTGTCCACTACATTGTCTTCATTTGCACAACCCAACTATCTAGTGTCTTTTAATTAGTTCTAATCTATGAACTTCTGGCTGTGGGAAGGGTATATTAAAGTAAATATGTACATATTACATTTCTGAAATGGAATACTTTGAAATATGACTATATTATTAGATGGTCTTGTAAAATATTAAATTACAAAGCAAATTTAAAAAATCAGAAAAGAAAATACACAATAGACTTAAATAAGTAATTCATTTTATTGGCCATGCCTAACCTTAATGAACAATAAACACAAACTAGAGGTCAATTTCATTGAGTACTGGGGAAAGTTAAATTAACAACACAAAGAGATAATGGTAGGAAGGCTTCACCTAATGGACTGACAGGGCTGAGAGTGGCCGTGGCTGAGTAGCTTTAACTGTCCTGCACTGGTAACTGGACCTGAAGCTGACACAGCCACACTGGGAAACAGACTGCACCATTCACTGAAAGCTAAACATAATGCCATCTCTCTGACCAGCAAGTCTCCTCTTAGATACACACCTGATAGAAACGAGCACAAACACTAATGGCCAAAGGAAAGGCTTTGGAAACATTATTTGTAATAGTTACTGTTCAATATGCCCCATATCACAAAACCCATCAATGATACAAAAGATAAGCATATATTTATAGTACTATATATGGCAATGGAAAAGAGAAAGCCTATACATAACATAGATGGATCTCATAAATCATCCCAATTTCATGTACACAGTTAAAAACTAAGCAAAGTCAAATTATCAGTGATATAACTTAAGACCAGAAAGATAAACATTTCTTCTCTGATATGGATACTGGCTTTAACTCTTGTGTTTTAACATGCAGCGCAAATGGAAGCCAGGAAACTAGAAAGGGTCTTGTGAGGACATGTAAGGGAGAGGAAATAATAGATTGCAGGTGACGCCAAAGCAGTGAGTGAATATAGGAGTGGAAAGACTTAGCAGGGAGGGGCATAGGGTGTGGGGGAAGCCATGGAGTAAAGGACAGGCTAATGAAAGGAAAGAGCTATGAAAAGCCACATGGAAACCTACTGTTCACAACACAACACATAAGTGGAGGTGCAGCAGAACACACGTGCAATGGAAGAAGAGGTCCAAACACTGGGGGTTAAAGGAGAAAGTGAGAATGGGGGTGAGGGCATAGGAGAGAGAGGCAGGTAAACCAAAATGAAGGATGTATGAAACCCTTTATGGAAACTCACTAGTTACTATGCTAATTTCAAAATATAACTTAAAGAACAAAAAGAGAATAAAATTACCCTACATGGGTCCCAGAAGACAGATTAAGAGCTAAAAATTGCAGTAGAAGGCATGGAATACCTCCCAGTGAGTTTTTGGTGCCCAAAGGTCTCTAAAAATACAGGCTATTGTTATTGTTGTTTGTTACCCACCATAGCCACAGGGTAAGACTCTACTGCTAAAGACAGTGTACATTTTGGCTTCAGGACACTAAATCTAATCTCCAACTGACTGGGAAATTTCCTGTTGTCTAGTTTTCCCAGAGCCAAAGTGTTATGAAGGCTATTGGAAGAGAAAAGACATCAATGAACTAACCTAACACCAGACTCTGCATAGAAAGTACAACACCAATTTGCCAGAAAAGATGTGCCTCTTAGTACATAGTGGCAATAATGTTGTGAGATAACTAACCACCTTCTTACTGAGTTTGAGGCCTGTTCCATAAAAAGAAATTTTATGCCTGGTACTATAATCCTAGTCAAAGCTCACAGTTAGAAAGGTCATAGACCCTCTGCTAAATGGTCATGTTGTCGAATAGCCTTCTAAGTATTTATGCTTATGCCATAGATCCGGGTTCTTGTCAGCTTTGGTCAGAGAAGCTCAATCCTGCAGGGAACAGCAAGCAACAGAGATATGCAGAAGTGGTCAAAGTCTGAGAAAAAGAGACTTAAGTGTTTCACCCTAATGGGACATCTCAATTTCCTGGACTACTAACATGGCTCAGGTAACACTATGGAAGCAGAGGTGGAAAGGTTATCAAGAGCCAAGTGATGGGGAGGGGTGCTGTGCAATGCTGTCTTCTGGACATCGCACGCCTAGTGCAATAATGCATACATAGTAGCCACGGTTGCCTGTCTAAGACCCACCACATCCAGTTAGCTCCACCCCTTACTGAGGAGCTACTAGCAGTGAACAGTTGCTGGAGAGGGAACAGTTGCTCACTCTTTTGACGAAGTAGCCATTGCTAGGTTTCCCAGTGGATGGCCACACCTATGCACACAGGGGCAGCACTAACTGGACTTAATAGGTTATAAAAAAATGAAGTTGGAAAATGTGGTACATTTACACAATGGAGTACTACACAGCAGAAAAAAATAACATCTTTAATTTTTCAGGAAAATGGATGGAGCTAGAAAACATCATTTAGAGTGAGGTAACACAGACCCAGAAAGACAATTATCACATATACTCACTCATAAGTGACGTTTAGACATAAAGCAAAGAAAACCAACACACAAATCACAATCCCACAGAACTTAGACAACAATGAGGATCCTAAGAGAGACTTACATAGATCTAATCTACATGGGAAGTAGAAAAAGACAAGATCTCCTGAGTAAACTGGGGACCTTGGGAGAGGGTTGAAGGGGAGGGGAGAGGCAGGGAGGGGAGCAGAGAAAAATGTAGCGCTCAATAAAATCAATAAAATAAAATAAAATAAAAAATGAAGTTGCAAAGAGAGTGTCTTAAGGAGGGCATGGAAAAAGCTAGAGGGGGGAAATGGGATGATCATATTTTATTGTACACATATGTGAAATTCTCAAAAAGAATGTTCAGAAGATAGAAATCTCTCAATGGAAACATTAATGATTGAGAAAACAACAGATGCACTTCTGGAGTGCCAGTAATAATTACTTCCCTACATGGGTAGTGCAGTATGGCTATGTTTACTTTGAGAGTTCACTGAATATAAACCTATAATTTGTGGATTTTCTTTATGTATAGTATACTTCAAAATGTCTACTAAAATTAATAAAATGTATATATATATCTTATAAATGGCACTGGAAGGGCTGAGAATAAGAAATGTGCATTTTTTAGATGTCTCACACTAGCAAGTTTAATTTTCATATAATTAGCTACTTTTAATCTCTAAGATGGAATAGAAAATTACCCCAATGAAACAATGCTAATTTCAGATAAATTTGATCTGAAATGGGAAAATAATGAGCCCTAGACCCTTAAGAGAGATACGAAGTAAGGGAAGACTCTAGTTCCCCACTAATATTGTACCCTCACACTACTGTAGCTAGTTCAATTTAAATTAAATTGAAAATTCAGGTCTTCAGTCCTGACAACTTCATTTCAAGTGTTCAATGGTTACATGCGTTGGGAAGGGAAGACAGATATAGGACACTTATTTTTCTGACAAGTTCAGAGGGCAATAACCTGTGGATCTAAAAGAAAATAAGATGTTTAGAATCATCTTCCAAGTTAATGTTCTTACTGAGAAGTTAAGATATAAAAAGAAAGAGTTGCGCAACAGAAAAAAACACAACTCAAACCAAAAAAAGTTAGACAGAAAGAAGTGATTCAATAATACTTGTTGAATCTGGGAAAGGAGGGAAATGCACATGAAATTGGTACAGAATTGCTTCATAGTAACGTCCTTAGCAGCAACCTCAAGTCCTTTCATATTATTCTATCCTATCCTAGTTAGTAGCTTATTTAGTTCATTTTTGATACTACATAATTTAGCTAATTCTATGATTAAAGAAAGAAAATACTGAAGAGATGGCAAAGCATCCTGTGTTCGTGTACTCATTTCACCTTCCAGACATCCCAGATTCGAGATCCACTTCTCTGCTGAGGCTGGTCCCCAGAAAAACACATATAACATGGTAGATTCTGTATTTTACATTTTAAATTTAAAATAATATCCTTTACACATTGGCACGAAAATGTGAGTTACCATTCAGCAGTTCAATGAGTGCTGGGATTATTCCAGATTTTGCTAGCAGTGCAGCACAAGAGTCGTCCATAGACACAGTTCCGATCATTATAACCACTTCCAAAACAAGGTCATCCTCTGCAGCACCTGGCAAAGTCAAGACAGGGAAGGTTTGCATTGCGTGTCTTTAGAAAACCCATTTGTTCTGTCAAATTTAAGTGCATAGAAAAGATACTAAAAGATGTTAAACCCATCCAATGGATATCTGACATGCTTATAACCTTGTCTTTTTGTTTCAGAATTTTTTCATGTTTCTCCAGGATAGTCTGTAGAACTGGTGAGACAATAGGATGGTGTAAATATTATATTTGAAAATACAACTGAAAGATATTGTAAGCAGATGGTAGAAGACTCTTTACTGTGTGTGAGCTTCCACATCTGCATGTATACATGGGGGGGGGGGGACACTTGTTAATAAAAAAGACAGTAAAAATCTAAAAACAAAAATAAATAGGAAAGAGAAACTAATGTTAAATCACTCTTAGCTGGGTAGTGGCGATGCACACATCTTTAATCCCAGCACTTGGGAGGCAGAGGCAGGCAGATCTCAGTGAGTTCAAGGCCAGCCTGGTCTAAAGAGTGAGTTCTACGACAGGCTCCAAAGCTACAAAGAAACCCTGTCTCAGGAAAGCAAAAAACCAAAAAACAAACAGAAAGAAAGAAAGAAAGAAAGAAAGAAAGAAGGAAAGAAGGAAGGAAGGAAGGAAGGAAGTAAGGAAGGAAGGAAGGAAGAGAAGAAAAAAGAAAAGAAAGAAATCACTTTATGACAATTTAGGACAAATGAGGACTTATAGAAAATAGGGGGCTTGGTAATAGTCTTTCTAAAAACAACACTGTTGGAATAGTGTGCTGCCTAGAACAACGGACTCATACAATACTTGGTGAGCAACCCTATCCAAAACCCAGAGCTTAAGCAAAAAATCTGTAACATGGACACAGACCTGGCTTCAGCTTATCTTTGAGGAATGGAACTAGCTTGTACTCCTTTAGAACCAGCTCCCAGTCTAGGTCTGGGATGGTCAGATTTGCCAGAGTTCCCAAACACTCAATTACAAACTCCTCTTCTTCATCACTGGAAATCTGGGCTGCAAGGTCCCCAACATAATCCTGAGGAAGCAGAATCGCAACAGAGTTAAAATGTAGGAAGGGATCTAATCTAGTAACTGCTAGGGAAAAAAAAAAGCAAAACAAAACATAGTTCTCAATTTAACTGAGTTAACTTGTTAAGGATGGTAAGCTCCAGAGAGGGCATGCTGACTGGACAGCTGTAACATTACAATGTGGGCTTTCCTTTCCTTTCTTTCTTTCCTTTCTTTTTCTCTTTCTCTTTCTTTCTCTTTCTTTCTTTCTTTCTTTCTTTCTTTCTTTCCCCAGCATGTTGAAATAAGTGATTGTGGTAATTGTGTACAAAGGACCATCGATAAGGGAAGAAGGGATGTTTTCTCCTCTCTGGTCAAAACCTGCAGACCCTTGATTCAGGAAGACTTGATCTCAACTCACAGATCCATCACTTGCTGTGAACCTTAAGGAAACTTCAATTTCTGAAAATAGGATGATTCCTTTTAAGAATATAATGTTGGAACTATCATCTACACAGTAGCTACTTCACACATATTAAAGCAATTATTGTCATTGCTTCAAAATAAATCTTAATATCTTATGGCTGGAAGTTAGATTTCAAGTCAAAGAGAATTTATTTAATACTAATATACTCAACAAATATTAAGTACCTGCTAAATGTGATTAATATTGTTATTGTGGCAGAAATGTTGGGGAAAATATAAAACCTGTTCTCACAATGCATTCAATAAGTCATCAACAGCATTCTGAGACTCTATGTGGCAAGCAAATGAAGAAATCAAAGTGGTTAAGTTTTCACTTTTGTACCTGGATAAACTGGACACTTTTGAAAAGATGGTGTGGGAGGTCCTTCTGTCTATGTGCTGCTTTTATTGGCTAATGAATAAACAAACTGCCTTGGTCTATTGATAGGGCAGAACTTAGGTAGGCGGGGAAAACTAAACTGAATGCTGGGAGAAAGGAGGCAGAGGCAGAGAGAAGCCATGTATCCCTGGCCCGAGACAGACGCTGAACCTTGCCCATAAGCCACAGCCGCACGGTGATACATAAATTAATGGAGATGGGTTAAATTAAGAGTTAGCCAATAAGAAGTTAGAGCTAATGGACCAAGCAGTGATTTAAGCAACCGAACAATCAAGCAGCCTTCATTACAACAGAAAGAACATTTAGATAAAGTTGCTTCTAATGGAAGTATCAAGCTGATCTACCATCTTTAAGATTTTATAGCCTATTACTGCAGAGTATGGGAATGTGGTATCTGGCAAGTTGTGGTAGGTAATGGAGAAAGAATTCTGGATTAAGCAGGTACAGATGAATAAGAAGATCTGAACATAAGCCTGGGTCATGGGAATGTGGATATATTGTTTATGCTCTCTCTGTTGAAGACACGGATTTCTAACATCAGCTATCCACTGATGTCCAGATGTCAGTATAGACACATTTTCAGAGAAACAAACAGATAACAAAATGACCCTCACTCTGGGAAGCAGCACCCAAGCAATAGTTGGTGCAACTGTCCAAAAATGGGAAGCAAAGTGGCTTGGGCTGGAGCAGCCAGGAGGCAGGAAGACTAATTTCTGTCCTTGTTCCTGACATACATGGTGCTGGGCCCTGCAATCACCTGAAGCAGCGGTGTACTTCCTGGTTGTACAATACAACCACTTGTGAAGATTTAGCAAATGCATGCTCAGTCATTTCATTCCCATATGAAGTAAATTAAAGCTCACTAGTACAGAGCAGTAGAATCGTTTGATTAAGACACAACATAGCCGGGCACAGCCCTTTCAGGCTCTCTTACATCTGGGTTATTGGACTTAAATTACCTCAGAAATCCTGACTCTCATAAGGTCACATAACAGTAGGAATGACTGATCAATAACCATCCTACCAACTTTAGCAGGATGCCAACTACACAGTAACTTCTTATTGTAGCTTAAACTGTATTGTTCTGAAAATCTCTGGGTCCAAATTCCCTCTTTTGGGCTAGTTCATGATCAGAGAATTTAGGCACTAGGGATATCTGAATTACCTCCTTTGTCTTTTCTTTTTTGTTTGTTTCATCTTTTTGAAGTATTTACAAATTGATGATGTGTGTTCTATAATAGGCACGTGAATAAAGCTTTAACTCTGGAATGGATTTTAAATAAAGTAATCATGACAGCTAATTTGTCTCAGCACTCAGTTACAGCAGGAGTTTCTCAACACTTCATTATTATCATGGCTCCTTGAGAACAGGGCTTTTTCTGTAGTCCACAGGAGAGACAGTGAGGTTCATGGAGGTTAAAAGACTTGCCCAAGCATCTGTGTCAGACCTTGGGTTCTTTACTATTTTGCTCATTAGCTTTCTCCTTCAGAACTCTGGGGAAACAGTGACATAGTAACAGGAAGCACCCTTGGCAATGCACATGTGTCAGCCATGCTGGGCCTTTGCACCGTATGTCCATCAAAGCAGAGGACAGCAAACCAGGGGCTCCAACTACTTTTTGAAGCTAAAGAATTTTTGTTTGTTTTTGTCCCATATTTTTTTTTATCTTTTATTGCCTTCATTTGTGGTGTGTATGTGTGTTGTTTTTTTTTTGTGTTGTATCATATGGAAGTTAGAGGACAACTTGAAGGAGAAAATGTACCAAACTCATGCAAAATATTAATATGGAAATATATATGTATGTATGCATGTATACATGTGCAGACGACTGCATATGCATGGAGGTCAGACACCAACTTAAGGAGTTGGTTCTTTCCAGTGTATGGGTTTTGGGATTAAACTCAGGTTGTCAGAGAGTAATTTAATTAGGTTAAATCACTGTTTTTAACTGTTCACATTAATGGGCTTTGTTATAACACAGTTATGCACAGATATAACAATTCTGACTATATCCACTCCTGTCATTACCTTACTCCTGTCTCCTTCCTTTTCCTAACAGCCTCTTCCAAGGGTTCTTTTCTTTTTTTTTCCTTGCAAACACTGTAGACTGAGGGAAGCGAGACTCAGAAAGAGAGATGCCTCTTGTTCTCTTTTGTGGATACCAGTTCTGAATCTTTTCTTCATTTAATCTTTTGAGAATTTTACTCATTAGAGTCGTTAAGTTAAGCTCATAAAGGTTCTCCCAAGCGCAGAGGTGGCTTGAGTCCTGAGTAAATATTTGAAGAGAACCCAGGAAGAGCTGTCTCCCCAAATGCAGCAACTTAAGACAGGGGTCTCAAGGTTTTAAGCTGGAAGCTACTCACGATGAACAAACTTTTGGTGGGTCCATCGTGCTGGGAGACATTTCTGATCATCTTCATCAGCAGGGGGTCCTTGAGCTTCAACGCTCTTTTCATGAGCATCTTTAGCCCGTTTCCTAAAACAGAAAAATGTAAATTTCTGGACCACACTGAGGTGACATTAAGCTTAAATGGCTTTTGTTTGGGGTACATCTAATACAATGCGGGATCCTTAAGTGTACAATCTGAATCAGACAAATGCATGTGCTGTGTAACCCAAACACACACCATACAAACTATGCATAGAATATTCTTGTTCATTCCCGTGCCCTGCCTTTCAATTTTATCTTCCCACACAACTATTTTCCTTCACCCCTTCTTTTACTTCTCTTATTTATCTTTTTAGACACAGTTGAGCTTTATGATCTAGAGCTTTATCAAAATAGGCTCATATAGTATATGCTTTCTTGGCTTTGGATTATGTTCCACAAATAAAAACACTTTTGAAAAATATTGTACTTCTAGGACTTCTAAAAATATAAAACTGGAAACATAGAAAGAGTTAGAGAAAGGATAGTTTCTACAGCACTGATTATGCTTGAAAAGAAGGGCAACAAGATAACTATGCAAAAGAGTAGACAATGACAAAATCATATCTCACTTATGCTTTGAGTTTTAAAATGTTTGCTAATATTGCTTTTGTGTATGTGTGAACATGATGTTTGCATGCTTGTGTGTGTTATGGCATGAATGTGGAGGTAAGAGGTCAGCTTTGAGTAGTCAGATCTTATATGGATTGAACTTAGGTCAAAAGGTTTGTGTATCAAGCTCCTTTATCTACCAAGCCCTCTTGTTAGCCCACTTTTATAAAAGCATTTTATCATATAGAATGATAGTCAAACTATTATTTTTATAAGACCATTTTATAAGGTATAGAGAGAAAAATCACTTTATTAAAAATTTTATAAAAGCATTATACAAAAATTGATTATATTAGTTTCTGCGTGATAAGAATAAAGATTTAAGGTTTTTGTGCTTGCTCATTTGTATTTTTTATAATGAACATGGACTCATCATAAGTAAAAACTGATGGCCAGTAGACATTGAAACATCCTGAGTAGAGTAAGTCATTTTATCAGGATACTATAGAAACAATATCCTCATATTCTTATAGTTCATTACCTTTAAAATAAATGCAAACTGATTTGTGTACTAAATATTACCAAGGAGCATATCCATCAGAAAAGGATATCCTATGAGACCCATAAGAAGTATAAGCATACTGAACTTAGAAGCATATATTTACATTGCATTCTTTCTTCCTTTTATTATCTATTTCTCATTATATGTAAGTTACACTTACATATAATGTTTAAAAGGCTACCTGTGAAGATCTGTGCACTGACCTTCACAGATGAGCTGGACATTTCTCTTGTTAGCAGCAAGATTAATGCAGAAAGAAATCAGCTCCAAGTCAATCCGTTCATCTGAACATTCAAAGAGCATCTTCATTAACTAGCAAGAAACAAAGTTATAGATTATTCAAAACACCAAAACAAGGCCTAGAAGTAGAAGTATTAAGTATTCTCTTAAATTATACATTGGAAATAAGGTAATCTACATTTCATTACAAATTGGACAGCTTTAACTGTTAAATAGCCACAAGGAGTAAATAGGTGGAAACAAATAACTAAATGGCCAGTAGTAAATAGGAATTTCCAAGGAGTGTAGAGAATGCTAGGAAACATCAAGCAACACCTCAGCACATTAAGGAACTAAAAATATTGCCTGGAAGCTGGGCAGTTCAAATGAAGAAAACAGCTCATATAAACGTGACAAAAAAGCAAGGAGCACAACTGTTCTGAAGAACTGAAGGAAGCCAGGCACGGCTGATGAAAAAGGGGCTGAGAAGGCTAGAGCTAGATCCTGCAGCTCCTGTAACACGGTAAGGACTCTGGGCTTCATCCTAAAGACACACCAAAATTACTTAACGTTTCTGAGGACAAGAGTCAGGAAATAAAGTATAAATCATGACAAACTGTTTTGTAACACACAGAGATTAGAATCACATTTTATTTAAATTTACAAAGAAAGATTACACAAAAATAAATAAGTGAGTAAAAATACATATATGCAGAGGGAAAACTCAACTAAAATGATAGCTACCTGTGCCAGCTATGTTGTGTAATTGGGGTAGAAATAAAAGAACTGATTAGATATATATTTAGAGAAGAGAATCAAAGTGGAACTTAATAACTGACTAGATAGTGGGGCTAATGGAGGAAAGGAACCAAAGATGAATCCTGGGATCCTGCACTGAGAATGTTAGGGATGGTGTTGCCAACATCTAGTGAAAATGTTGGAAGCTAAAAAGGGAAAAACAGTACTTCGGGTTTGACACTGGTGGAGTTTAAGCTGCCAATGCGTCTAGCTACAGGCTAGAAGCTGTGATCAAGGCCTAAGCTTATGTGCTTATTGGATGTCTATTAGAAACTGCTACATATGGCTGATTTCTAGAGCTGCAGACTACATACTGAAACTTGTCCATCGATAGAAAATGAAAAAAGAAAATCAGATAGACAGATATGAAGAGAGGGCTTGAGAAGTAACAAACAGAAGTCAGGTCAGAAGAGACAAGCTATGTATGCAATAGTGATTTAGTCATTATGTATATAAGCAGTGTTTCTTTGTGTGTGTGTGCAGGTGCATGGAGGTCACATGACAACCTTGTGGACCCTTCTTCAGGTCCTGTCCATCTTGTCTCTTATTGGAACCTGGAATTCGCAAGTGGCCTAGTCTGGCTCACCAGCATTTCCCCACAGCCTCTCTAGAGCTTGGACCATCACTCCAGGTTTTTTCTTTGTTAAAATATGGTTGCTAGGAATGAAAGTTGGGACTTTCTGAGTGTGTGGAAGACATTTTACGACTGGGCTATCTCCCCAGCTCCATGTCAGTAGGTGTAAGTGAGCAGACCTACACAATTCAGAAAACACTCTTCTTGGGGAAATCAACAAGCTAAATTAGTTACATATTAAGTAAAGATATTTTTGGTAAGTCAAAACTGCTTATAAGAGATAAAGATATGAACATATAAGCTTTATAAGATAGATATAATAAAGATAAAACATTTGAAACATTCTAAGACATATAACCTAAATATTTCCATGTTATATTTTAGGAAAATACCTTTTAGAATCACATATTTTCATTAATAAGGTTTATACTATTTCTATTATATTTTTATTTTTTGAGATTATAATTGCATTATTTCCACCATTTCCTTCCCTTCCTCTAATTCTTTCCATGTACTCCACCCCCCACCACAACACTCTCTCAAATTCATGGCCTCGTTTTTTTTTTTAATTCTTATTTTGTATATAGTAAAGTGAATAAGATTTTATTTTAGAATCTGGCCTGAAAGCTATGGTTTTAATTACTTTCTGTGTTAGCTCCAGATATCTATAAAAAGGACGTACAGTCAATACAGTCAAAATCAATAAACTTTTCTTGTGAGCAACCAATAGCTTGAGAACAAAATTAATGAAAAGCACTATTCTATTCCAATTGTCATGCACAACTCTAATAACATGGTGGTAATTTATATGCAGAAACTATATAATACTGGCATGTATCATGTCCTTCCCAGAGGGCAGGTCACAAACCACAAATGTGTCACTAATGAATCTCTGAGTAAAAGATCATTAACACGTAGTAATGTTGTACTATAAAGAGACTCTAAGCCAAAAATAAAATTATCTTAATTTACTGGATATGTATTTAACAGATCTTCTGTCAGCCAATTAAAAAATAAACAAATTAGCAAAAATGCAGGTGATTATCCACTAATTAACATGACTACATTTTCATAATATAATTCAAAATCTGCTACTGCTATCTTCCTTTAGAACTTTTACTAATATAAAACTTTTTATAATGAAAATCTATTACATTGAAGCAATGCTTTAAGAAGGTAAAATATTGTAATAAATATTTATTTCAAATTAGCCCTGAAGTAAAAAAATTACCCTTGAAAAACGAGGTTACAGATGACATATTTAGAAGCTATGGATTAAAAAAATAATTTCCTTGCTAAATCTCTTGTAGAAACAATCAGATATGTTTTTAAAATAACATCTGGTTTGAAAAATTTATTATCCCATCTGCAAAACTGAGAGAAAATTTAAGTATGAGTGAAATGTATCCTAATAGAAAATCATTGCTTCATCATAATGAGAACACTTCCATTTTAAAGCACTCAAGTCTAAAACCGGCTTAATTCAAACTCCAAGAGCCACAGTGCGGTTGTCTTTAATTTGATTGCTACCCACGGTACTTCAAACACAAGGGTAATTACTGACAACTAGGAAATATTAAAACTAGATTTGTTCTGTTTTAACTGTCTGTTTTCATCTTTTACTAATCTAACAGGAAAGTACTAAAAGGTCTTCAGCCTGTGCAATGAAGAAGCAATAGTGTTCAATCAGACAAGTCCCATATTGAGTATCAGATACCAAAGACCCAAGACTGAAATCACTGTGTCTAGACTCTCTGGCACCTGACTTCACTTATTTACCAGTGACCAGAGGCCAACCCCCACAGCTCTCTCTATTCTCATACACCTCCACCCCCACCCCCTCTGCTCAAACATCTTTGAATGATTATGCCAGAACTGTGCATGCCGCAGGAATCTCTTCTGACTGGCTACTCCCTAGCTCTCTTGTTTGAAGTGATGCTCTGGTTTCTGAACTCAGCAGATAATGGCAGCAAGAGCAGAGAGTGCTGTCAGAAAGGACGTTTGCCAGCGTTCAGCTAAAAAGAAGCATGCAGATCAAAGTGGGGCCAAACAGGACAACTGTGGTGGAAAACATGTGGACCACTCTGACGACTCTTGCATGCTGTTCTAGGGCAAAATATTAAATAACACCATGACATCACTACCTAACCATGTACTTTGATTGGCCATTCTATTACCAATAAATACTTTTATAAGCATCTGGATGGCATTTGCACCTATTTAAACAAAACATGCAGCTCAGAGGTCTAAATAACAATGAACTGTTAATGTGTACTTTTAACAATTATTAGACTACAACCATTAACTCCTGGTTATCCAAATATGCTTACCTGAAACAATCCACCCACTGAGCCCATTAAGATCATACATAAAAAAAGATGACCTGAATTCAAATTTTGATGAATAATAACAAATAGGGAAAGAAAATGAGAACACATTGAATAACTACAGGCAATAAAGTACAAAGGAAGAAAAGTGATGCAATACCGGGTGAGATTATGAGGAACGTTGTATGCATACCCACCTATTCTGGACATTTAATATTTTCAGAATGTGAACTCTAACCTAATTACAGGTCTATCCTGTAAAACACTGTACAACACTGCACTATGAATGAGTCAGAAATGATGAGAAAGACTCACATTTTACAAGCCATACTTTTATTAGTAATCTAGACAGCACATACATATCATCTTATGTTCTCTCTGATCACTAAAATAGATGTGAGTCACTGCTGAGCCACTACATTTCTGCCTTCAGGTTCACTATTGTCTTCTCTGAAAAATTCAAGTGTAATACACCAAGATCTTTATTTTTAATATTTAATGAAAAAATAATATCAGTAATTCAAAAAGAACAAAACTCCCATTGACCTGTGGACACTGCCACCATGATACGGCTTTCTCTAATACACAGGTCAATTGGTGTGCTGCCCTCAGAAAGTGTAAAGTCCACTGGAAACACAAATGCTGCCCTGAACAGGAGCACATTTCTAATTTCTGAAGGGTATATTCTATTTTCATTTAACTTTTGTTTTCCTTTCTATTATTCTTTTATTTTGCAATGAACAATGGTTGACAGCAAAAGCATGTAAGCTTTTATCTAAGTATGCCCAAACTGGACAGTGTGAAATAAAATTTATAGGCCTTAAATGTACTTAAGTATATTCTAGACTACTACTTTTATTAAAATAACTAAAAGTTCCAATATAATATAATTTTGTATTCCTTTAACAATCAACATTTCAGAAAGATAAAAGAATATTTATTTAAAAACCTTAAAAACTGTCAAAATTTTATGATCTCCTGACAAAACTGGGAGCATGGGGGTGGGGGAAGGAAGGGAGGGTGGAAGGGGAGGAAGGAGGAGAAAAAGAGGGGGGAGGAGAACTTGAGGGAACAGGATGGTGGAGAAGGGGGAAGGACAGAGATGGAGAGTAAGGAAAGAGATATCTTGATTGAGGGAGCCATTATGGAGCTAGCAAGAAACCTAGCACTAAAGAAATTCCCAGGAATTCACAAGGATGACCCCAAGTTAAGACCCTAAGCAATAGTTGAGGGGGGGCAATCTGGCCTTGCCCTGTAGGCAGACTGATGAATATCTTAAATGTCACCATAAAACCTTCATCCAGCAACTGATGGAAACAGAGGCACAGATCTGCAGTGGAGCACTGGGCTGAGCTCCCAAAGTACAGTTGAAGAGATGGAGGAGTGAGAATATGAGCAAAGGGGTCAAGACCATGATGGGGACACCCACTGAAAGAGTTTACCGGAGCCTATAGGAGCTCATCAACTCCAGCTGGGCAGGGAAGGAATAAGCCTGGGACCAAACTAGTCCTTCTGAATGTGGGTGACAGTTGTATGGCTGAGGCAGACTGCTGGGCCACTGGCAGTGGCACCAGGATTTATCTCTGCTGGTTGTATTGGCTTTTTGGAACCCATTCTCTTCGGATGGATTCCTTGTTTAGCCTAGATATAGTAGGGAGGGCCTTGGTCCTTCCTCAAAGCAATGTGCCTTACCCTCTCTGAGAAGTAGATAGTGAGTTGGGTGGAGGGAGAGAGGAAGGGAGGAGGGGAGGAAGTGGGAATTGGAATTGGTATGTAAAATATAAAAAGATAGTTTGCTTTAAAAAAAAATAAAAATTGTCAAAACTTGAATGGGTTTAGGGAATTTGGCTCATGAAATACAGATGACAAATGTTTTAAAAATTCCATCGTCGACATGTGTGATATTAAAACACTCTGTCAAGTATACATGGAAGAAGACTGTTTTGGTAAGGATGGGGGAACTTTTGTAGACACCAAGTTCTAAGCTGCACTTACAGCCATGTCTAAAAATTACCCTAAATGGGCTCTTCTTTTTGAGTCATTTGAAGTTTCATATTTTATTTTTGAGACTATACATTCTGTAAGAGTAGGATAACTCCAAATTTAATATTCAATGTAACAAGTTTTCCATCTCTTCTTGGTTTGTATTTATTTCTCTCTTAATGCTATTATTTTAAAAAAAATCTAAATCTGGGTAAAAAGTCATTCTTTGAGAGAATTTTTTTTTGGCTGCTTTTCAACTGATATCCTGAAGTCAATAAAGGTCAGACACTGAAGAAGAAGGAGAAGGAACTCCCTTTGAAACTACAAAGCAGAAACCTCTGGAACTCTTGGAGCCAGGCTGCAGTGAATCACCTGTAACCTCCCCTGGACAGGGCTACTCTGTGGACAGCTTAGTCACACCACACAGGCTGTGTGCTGACATAGTTCAGCACATGAGGATATGTCTTAGTGAAAGGACGTGCTCTGACTTCTGGGAAGGATGTCTATCTGCTGCAAACACTCGCAGGGACCCCCACAATGCAAGAGGAATGACTCTTTGGAAGAGCACCAGGTTTTAAATACATGTAAGGAAAACCTTAAAATCCTTGAAAACAGATTGTTAAATTCTGACCACCGATTGAGAGTGAATAGAGAGGGACAGTCAGAATAACAAAGAGAGAAACCTGAGTCAGTTCTTAGAGAAACAAGGAGTTGTGCAGCAGTAGAGTTAAGGACGACTGCATTAAGTGTGATCCAGTCTTGTGGTCAAGTGTCCTTGCAGCCTTTTATTTTAGCTACATATCTTGTGAATTTTCTTCAGCTATTCTAGAAATCTTTTCCACACAAACACAGTGAAAAGATCAATCATTGTTGTGAGCTCCCAAGGTCCAAATGAGGAGCAGAAGGAGGGAGAACATGAGCAAGGAAGTCAGGACTGCGAGGGGTGCACCCACCCACTGAGACAGGGGGGCTGATCTATTGGGAGCTCACCAAGGCCAGCTGGACTGTGACTGAAAAAGCATGGGATAAAATTGGACTCTCTGAACATGGCGAACAATGAGGGCTGATGAGCCAAGGACAATGGCACTGGGTTTTGATATTACTGCATGTACTGGCTTTGTGGGAGCCTAACCAGTTTGGCTGCTCACCTTCTTAGACCTGGATGGGGGGGCGGAGGACCTTGGACTTCCCAAAGGGCAGGGAACCCTGACTGCTCTTTGGACTGAAGAGGGAGGAAGAGAGGAGTGGGAGGGAAATGGGAGGCTGGGAGAAGGCGGAAATTTTTTTCAATAAAAAAATTATCAATGAGATGCAAATTTAACTGGTTTCTTTTTACAAATCTTCCAGGCGCTTGTTCCTTGTGCAAGGGTCTGATGGAAGAACTAATTATAGCTACCGCACTCTTGTATTTAACTCAGGTACATGATACAGACCATTATGCAATTGCACTTAGCCTTACTTAACAACACTAATGTTTATATAGATATAAAAAAAAATTCTCATTAACTTTGTCTCTTAATGTTCCCCTAAAATGTTGTACAAGGATTACTTCCTTATATAACCCATTTTTAAAAATGTATATTATTAGTAAACTTGTTTTCTGGATAATTGCCATTCGTTAAGTTTTACTGTGGCCCCCTGGTTGAAACCTCTTCTGATGTACTCTAACTGCTGCTCTTTCTGCATAACGCCTTTTGCCAGTCCTAAGAAATTAAGAGATATATGTAACCCAAAGGCTTCAGAGCATTTCTGTTGAACTTAGAGGGGAGAGTAATTGGCCATGGGACTTTCAACTCATCCCTCTTCTTGTCACTCTATGGATATTTTTTTTTTCAGCATTCAGAAATAAAAGAGTTGGATTGAAAAAAAATTAAAAAAAAAAGAAGGGGACAAACCTGGGAAGTATTTGTAACATGACAGTTAAAACACTGCAAAATCAATCTTATTCATCAATAATATGAATATGCCACCAGAAAATAGAATGAAAATTTATACTAGAATAAAGATGCTAAACAGATGAACTATGTTTACCTTCACCAATACTCTGGAAATGCACATACATCAAACTTTTGAAGCACCTCATTTTTAGAGAAATACTGCATCATTAATGTTAAGGGTGAAATGGTGGCTGGAAATACAAGCATCTTTTTTAGAAGATAACTGGGTTAATATGTACTCAGAGCCCATTCATTTTGACCTAGGCATCCATCTGTTATGGACTGCAGCTAAAGAAAGCTCAGTGCAGAAGCACACATGGCTGCAAAGACATGGACAAACATCAAGTCTAACTTTATCATGTGCTCATATATGTTGATGGTGCTATGCGATAACCTGGGAAAATCTGAGGATATAATTTAATTGTGGTCATTAAGCACACAATATGATCATTAGAGACAGTTTATAATTTAACTACATGAGTATACTTGATCTATTCAGCAAATAACTCCACGCATGAAAATGTTATTAATATATTATTACTTTCATAACATACAAGGGGGCTGGAGAGATGGCTCAGAGGATAGGAGCACAGAGTGCTCTTCCAGAGGACCTGGGTTTCATTCCCGGCACTTACATGATGGTTCGCAACTGTTTTTAACTCCAGTTCCAAGGGACTGGATACCTCCTTTTGGCCTTTGGGGTTCTGTATACATGCAGTGCACAGACAAATATGTAGGCAAAACTCATACACATCAAAAGTTAATGGATCTCAAAAAACGAAGAGGAAAGGGTAAGAAAGTGTTAGTTTTCACTGGGGTGTGGATAATTATTCTGCATTCACTGATGCTCTGACAGGCATCAAGCATTCTAGTGCTGTCACTAAGCTACACACCCAGGCCTAGTTCTATGCTTCCAAAAATTCTTTTGAAGTTTTTATTTATTATGCATATGATGCTCTGTTGGCATGTACAGGCCAGAAGAGGATGATGTGAGCCACCATGTGGTTGGTGGGAACTGAACTCAGAACCTCTGGAAGAGCAGCCAGTGCTTTTAACCTCTGAGCCATCTCTCCAGCTCCCTTGTACGTTATGAAAGTAATAATATATTAAGTTATATCACATAAAACATTTTCATACGTGGAGTTACTTACTGAATAGATCATGTATACTATTAAGAAGTATTTTAAGGAATAGGAGATCTAAGAGACAACAGTGAAAATACTGACATTTCCTTTAAAAAAGATTTAGTATTTTGTCCTTTTAACTAGGTCTTTGAGGATTTTGTACAATGTGTTTTAATCATAATCACCCACTTCCCCCAACTCCTCTCAGGCCCACGCCCCTTCCCTAGCCACACAACTTTGTGTTCTCTTTATTTTCATTCATCAACTCCACTTGTGCTGCTCATTGTTCTTCAATGCATGACCTTCTAGAGGAATATAGTAGACTATTGGGGCAACATTTTCTTTTTCTTTTTGCTTATTAATCTTTTTTTGTTTATTTTTTTGTTTACTTTTTTTTAGTTGTTGAAAAAAAAAATTTCCGCCTCCTCCCTGTTTCCCATTTCCCTCCCCCTCCTCCCACACATCGCCCCTTCCCCCCACTCCCCTCCCCCTCTCCACCTCCCCCCCACTCCATTCCCTCTCCCCTCTGGAGAATGAAGAGCAGTCCAGATTCCCTGCCCTGTAAAAAGTCCAAGGTCCTCCCACTTCTATTCAGGTCCAGGAAGGTGAGCATCCAAACAGGCTAGGCTCCCACTTGGGGGTGAGGTGGCATGGGGCTAAGGGGAAATGGGGTGAGACACGTGAGAAGGGGAGGATGGGGGGAGCTTGGGGGAATGGGAAGGTTGGGATAAAAGAAGGGTGGATACGGGAGCAGAGAAATATATAATCTATTGGGGCAACATTTTTTAAAAAAAAAAGTGGCTCTCTTCCATCAGCTATCAATTGCTAGTGGATCCCTGGCTAGGGACAGGACTTCATCTCTACCTTACCTCTTTGTAATGAGATCTGGTCTGGTTTAAATTGTACAGGGCTGTATATACTGTCATAGCTGTGAGTTCATAGGTACACCTGCTTTGCTTGGCCTGCAGGACACTTCCCCAAAGTCATCCACTGCTTCTGACTACTAGTCTTCTAACCCCACCCCACCCCACCCCCCACCCCACCCCCGTTTCCACAATGATCCCTGAGCCTTGAGGAGTGGGGATTCAATACAGATGTCCAATTTAGGGATGAGTGTATTTCTTAAATGCCTTTCTCACTTAAGCCTCTTACCTGTGGTATGCAGTCAGTATATGCAAACATTGATTTAAAGCGGTCATCCATGCTTATATGGTAAAGCACACACATTGCTATTTGTTTGTAGTTTTCATTGCCTAATCACAAAAAAAATATCATGGTTATAATGAAAGATGCCATATATGTATATATACCATAATCAAGTTAGTAAAGTTATATATAAGATACTTTTAAACTGCTAAATCAAATATTTATATAACCTTGATCTGGAAAAATTTGGAGATCCTTATTTCAAATCTGGATATTTAATCACACTTATATTAACTGGGCAGTATAAAGACAGATGCCCATTTTACATGATATAATTTTGGGAAAAATAATTCAATTTCTAGAAATTTACTGTCCCCAGTAGCCTAGTATAAAACAGATTGGGTCATTAGTCTCTTCTCTCTTACAAATGAATAATAATACAAGATTAATTCGGTTGATTTGCAGTCACTAGGTAAAAGATACTGTAAACAAGTATATTTGAGTTCTAAGTATTAAAGCCTGGATCATCAGTGAATTGCTGAAACAAGTAGAATAACATCAGTTTAATCACGAACTGCTAAGATCACAAATTCATTACAGTCTGGGGAATGTCCCTGGAGTTCTGAGGTAATAATATTCTGGGCTAGGGATTTCACTCAGTGTAGAAAGCTTGCCCAGCATGCATAAGTGACTTAGTCTGATTCCAAGATTAGCATGTATAACAAGGTAATGATAGCAATAGTGACTAACAGTAATCACGCATTAAGCTTTTAGCATGCAAAAGAGCCATACTTTAGACAGATGGCCCAGCACTGAACCTTCCTTCAGAATAGTCTTCAGTTGACCTTATCATCCGTCACATGAGGACCCTCAAGCTTAGAGAAAGTAGATACTGATCATATAGCATTGGAAAAGTTGGGCAGAGATTTAAAACAGGCCTGTCTGCCTTCAAAATCTCTTCCCAGTTATAATAGTTTTAAACATTTTTATATCATAGGGAGGAAAATTTTTACCACATAAGGTATTATCAGGTGCCAAGAACTTTAAACACTATTAGATGATCAAATAAAGTTATTTCTCAAGTAGCATTCTTTTAAATTGAGAAAACATATCTTGTAAAATTGGTTGTTTTTTAGCAACTGTGACAAGGGTCATACTATTTCCAACTCTTCCAGGAAGCCATGGCAGGAAGATCACATATTCAATTCCTGGCCTACATAGTGAATTCAAGGCCAGCCTGAAAATTTAGTAAGACCTTGTTCAATTTAAACAAACAAACATTAAAAAAAAAGTAGGCCCAAAAGTGTAGTCCCTTGGTAGAATGCCTGATTAGCATGTGTACAAGCCCCAGTCCAATTTCTAGTTCTGTCCAAACAATTTATACCAGCAAGAAAAATAACTCCAAAACCAGATTAATATATATTACGTGCTTTAAATATGAAAAGACAAGTAAATATTTTTACCTTGAATAAGACTATGAATTAATAATTCAACTGCTTAGAACAGAATGTATGTGGGAAAGAAAAGTATTTTATACCTGAAATATTTATTTTTTCTTTATAACATTATAAGAAGTTGAAATCTGACTGAAGGAGAGTGCAATTTGTGTTGCTGTTTCCAGACAGGGTTTTTTTTGTAGCCAAGGATGTCCAGGCTGTCATGTCACAGAGATCCACCTGCCCCTCTCTCCCAGTGCTGGGATTAAAGGCACACGCTACCACACCCAGCTAGTTTGGATTGTTTTAAGGTAAATTTCAGATCTCTTATTGGAAATTGAGAAGAGTTGAAGACCTTGAAAGACGAGTGGTGTGAATAAAGAACATCATCTTAAAGGTGCAGTTACAAACAGTAATGGAGGAGGAAGTAGTATTTATAATCTTAAGATGGGGGTCAGTAATCCAATGGCTATACAAAACATAGTATTTATAACTATTATTTATTTGAAAGCCTGAATTATATTTGGAGAGAATTATGGTGTAAAATTTATGACATTATTTCAAATAATATAAAAGCAGGCATTTCTGATTCCAGCAATTTGAGACCACAGCAATCTATAATTCATAGATTTTAAGAATCGTATTTTATATTTTGGCATTTAATAATGCTTACCTGCCACAGAAAATGTTTACATGGGTTTTATGGTATATATGTGCAAAGTAGACCCATTTTAAATCCTGTTTCCTCCAAAGGCAGGTATCCTAGCCCAAGGGACTGAGCAATTACAGCATCTTTTAAACTAGACACCAGGGGAACTCTCATACTCTGTAAAGGCAACCATCTCTTGGTTTTCCAGTTATTTTCTACAAGAAACATGGGCCAGATGGTATAATTTTCTCATCAGGATTCTTGAGATGTAAACTCCACCTAACCCAGTACAGCCCTTCTATACACACAGCAGGTCTTCCAAACAGACAATCCTTTAAGAGTTATTTATAGCAATTTTCCCTAACGGCATCACAAGCAAAAACAGGCTTCTAGCTATTGGTATGTTGGTGTGATGCTCAGGGCTCTGTGAATTTTGAGCACAGCAGAGGACAGATGGAATATTTTGAGAAGTATATCTTAATAACTGGATGTGAATTAGCCAAATCTGTTCAAGTAATAAGAGTGGGCTTGAAAAAGATAGACCAGGTATTATGAGTCCTATGGTATTTATGGCTATAAACATGAATCATGTAGAGCTCACTGGCTATTAAATGCAGAGGGTATAAGCACTTTGATTGGATTTCCTCAGAAATTCACTGTTAACTAGCTGGGTCATTATTTGAATGCATTACTGAGTTATCTTAGTATTTGAGCAGCCAGTCTCCCCCAAACTGTTCACTCCTAGCTGAACAGTGTTAATACCTCAACAAACAGGTCATTAACTCCAGTAACTGGTTTTGTGGGAATTGTTGCACTTACAAAGTATAGTCAAGAGTTTATAAGAAGTATTGCCCCCCCCCCTTCTTTTTAAAGAAATTTACAGCTGTAGCTCAGCTGGAGCAGCTGAAGTCAGAAGAAAATAAGTTTTCTGGGCCACGCTCACAATTGATTTTCTGCCAACTAAATAGAAAAACACATGCTGATCAGTTTTGCGTTTTAAAATGTCTTCATTTGTATATTGCTGAAGTGATCAGTAGAAACACTACTCAGTCACTAATCTTGTAAGACGCTGGAGATTTTCCACTCACAGATCACTCAGACAGAAATGTGAGCTTTGAACATTAGAATACAAACCCAAATGTCTGCGCTTGTGACAGACCCAGTTCTACATCACAGAAGAGAGTGAGAATACACATTATGAGCCATGTTATTAGCCAGACTCTCATTCCCTTCTATACCCATGTCATCTTTGTTCAAAGCAGAACACTCCAAGCAAAGAAAAATAGGAACAGAAGCACATACAGCACAGCATTAGGTGACATTTTATCCTAAAAATGCCCTATGAATATAGCATGCTGAAACTGTTTAAGATTAATACAGCAGTAGGGCTCTTAATGCCTATTAACAATATAGTATAAAGTAAATGTCACAGTCTAACAACCTCTCAGAAATTATCTGCAGCAATTATTGAATACATTTATCTTCTATATCAAAATATACTAAAATACATTTAAGATTATCATGCAAAATTATTTTCTGGTATTACGGATGGAATCTAGGACCTCAGGTATGCTGGATAAGCACTTTACCAATGAGTCACATCTTTATATTTCCATATAATTTACTCTTAATTTATTATAGTAAATATATAAAGATTAAGATTAAGTATATTTGGTTTAAATTGGAATTTGGACAAACTAATTTTTAAGACTGCAACTCTACTGGCTGCTTCTTTATTTTACAATAGACTTATTGACAGCAGATATATAAGGGCTTGAACAGAAACAACACAATAATTTTAAAACGAGTTAAGTGGGAAAAGCAAAAACATCTCTACGGTCCAATGATCAGTATGAAAGCCCAGCAAGAGTTTTGTGGTCAAACTGCTGTATTCAGTTACTTATCACAATGAGAAGCAAAACTGAAAATCTATCATTAAACTAAACACTAATTTAATTATACATTAATGACTGTTTCAAGTACTCTAATATTCAAAACTGATAAATTTTCATTTTTAAAATATGTTCAACTAGTTATTTTCAACAGGTCTTCAATAAGTTCATTGCCTTGTTTATAAATTTTTATTGTGCCCCAAGAATACTATAGCAACTTGTTTGTAATAAACCTTACAATATGGCCGACTTCAGATACAAATGACATAGACCAAAATAAAGCCCTTAACAAGGACTGATTTCCAGCTCAGAGTCCACACTACCCACTTAATGTGCTTTGGCCAAATTTCACCATGTAGGATGGAGACACCCCAGGCAATATTCACACACACAGTATTAGAACCAGCTGGTGATAGAAGAATCTTACGAAAAAAGTCTCCTCGATTTAATTGGGAAAACAGGAGGAAGCATAAATTTTACTGCCATTAATAACTTCAAGTATCGTGATATGGTTCTACTCCAGCCTGAAGGGGACATGTGCTTTTTGTTAAAGTGTTTGCCACATCTGACCCCTATTGGTTGCTCACTTGATCAGGTAAGAAAATATAGGTTTATTTACAGGATAAATGAGGCCTATTAAAATTGAACAATGCAGTAGTCTATGAGGAGCTAGGTTCTGAAACAGATGTGTGAAATTCCCTAACAGTTTGGTAATAATAATAAGGCAAAACTAAGTTACTCTTTTTTTCTTTCTAAATTGCCTTTAATTTTCTTAAAGAAAAATATAATAAAAGCAAACTAGTCTCAAATAACTAGGTTGGAAAAACATTAATCTGGCCATTTCCAGTTTTTAATAAGCCTAAAAGGCCACTCCCAAGGCACTGGAGCTCTTTCTCAAAATAGACAAGTTTCATTCATTCACTTATGAAGTTGTTGGCAAATTAAAAATTAATTTACCAACACACACAGCACACACACACACACACACACACACACAGCACACACACACACACACACACACAACCTGGTGAGAGAAGGTTAAAGATGGTTGGAACATAACTTTGCCAGCTTTCTTTAAGGCATATATATCAGAGAATGGACATAAGAAATAACTTTTAGTGTCTATGTGG